TAGTTTATGTTTTAGGGCTTCGTTTCTGCGGCTGTAGTTTTTTTGCTGTTTCTGTCCTTTTGGTTCTTAGAGATTTTGTTTGTGTGAATTGTTGTATGGCGTTGTTTGGCTGTTGCAGTCACGAGGAGAGTCTTTCCTGGTTGTTTTTGTTATTCAAATCACCTTGTTAAGGTGAGTGCGTGACCATGAGCTTATCTAAGCGATTGGGATTGAGTGACTTGTTTGTGATGATTTGTAGGTGAATTGGAAGTGTTATTGGATGTTTAGCTTGCGGATTGGTTTGTTTATGTTATATATGTGGGTGTTATCTCATAGCTTGTGTGTATAGCTCGTAGATGGGATGATCGCTCTCACTGAGTATTTGTGATAATACTCACGCATCTCATTGTGTTTGTGGTGCAGGTATAGTGTGATCCATGGAATCATGGCGAGGAGAGGAGGATGATCTAGGGTCTCGGTTGTTATGTTTATGAATATGTTAATTGTTGTTGGAACCTGGTTTAGAGGCATGCTAGGTTGCTGGTGTAAATTGTGGTTATTGAATGATTGATTAATTAATATTATGATTAATTGATGTTAGTTTAATATGTTTCCGCTGTGCATGATGATTTATTGTTGGGTTAATTCGGTTAGGTTATTAGTAGGTATGAGACTATTATTTAATGAATTAAAAAAAACGGGTCGGGTCTTTTCAATTTGGTATCAGAGCCCTTACGGTTCTAGGGCGAGAGTAAATTGGTTATTTTTAATGTGATGTGTGAATTTCGTTGATGGAAAATGATGATGTGGATTGCATGCTGATTGATTTGTGTGTTTAATCAATTGTGTGAGCATGGAGACCTAGATCATCCTCTCGAGCCTTCAATGAGATTCCACGGTAAGTTGTGATGTTTTGTCTTTTCTCTAGTCGTCTGTTTTCCTAGTTTCTGTTCGTGGCAGTGTGGGAGGTTAGAGGTTGCGAGCGTGGTGCTCGAAGTAGTTCTGTGGTTGTGGTGGTTGTAGTCCGGAGCGCGGGTCTTCGGTGGTGTTTTGTTGGAAATGGATTTCCGAAAAGTTAAGTTGGAGACTATTATGTAATACTCTGAGTGACGGGATTTTTTGGGAGTTGACTTGAAGAATGGTCATGCTAGAGATGATATTCGAGGTGGGAATATTGTTTGGTATGTATGACATTGTGATGTTGTACTTGGACTATGTGAGTATTTCTTGGATTTGACTTGTTGTGTCATGTGTAAGAGAAATATGTGCGAGTTTCTAAAAATAGAAAGTGTCGGGTTTGACGGTTCTATTTTTGGAAAGTCTCGGGGTGGTGGTTAGTATAGCATTGTGATGTTATAAGTGGACCACGGGAGGTATATCTGATCGAGAGATATGCTCGGGGGTGTTTAGACTTATTTGCTCGGATATGATGTGATGGCCTCGGATGACGATTCGAGTGCACGCTTGAGGGTGACGACCCAAGAGCGAGCGTGAAACTTCCCGGATACCGTAGCTAGAAGGCGGGTGGCCTTATAGTGAGCCGGTATGACTTGAGGGTTGCGACCTGAGAGCGGGGGGAGTGGTGAGACTTCCTGGATACCGTAGTCTAAGGCTGAGGCCTGAGGACGAGCCGGTATGATCCATGGGTTGCGACCTATGGACGGGGGAGGTGGGTGTGTATGAGCAAATAGGGTCTGGAACGTGAGTATATGGATTAGATAGGAGCCTCAGAGGAGTCAGTTGTGGGAGTGCAGATCGTTTGGGATGGTTGCACGAAGTCCGACTGATGGAGAATGTTGAAGGATTCGAGGACAAATCCATGTTAGTGGGGGAGAATTGTAACGCCCGTGTTCTGAAAATTAATAGGAGACTTGAATGTGTATAAGAATTAGGGTGGAGTCGGTTTAATTCCGGCTGATTTCCTAAACTGGTCGATTTGTTTAATTGAACCAAAGGAGGTTTAATTAAAGTCGGTTTAGGTAAATTCTGGTTTAATCAGAATTAAACCAAAAATCCTAGTTTTATAAAGAACGGTTCTTCTCTCTTTTGTTTTGTGGCTGTTGTTTCTGAGAGTTGAGTTGAGAAAAGGAGAAGAAGAAGTTTACTTGTGAAAAGGAGAGTGTTAGCTTTGCTTTGGTGTTTAAGGCAAGAGAAGCAGATTCGTCACGTCCTGGTAGAATAGAGTTACGACGTATCAAATCTTATCGAAAGGTAATGAATTTTGGTAGGTTTGTTCTTAAGGCGTTTACGTTGATTCTCCTTTTTACAGAAGTGAATTCGGATTAATACTCAGTGAGTTATATATGCAGTTTGGTGAGACGCGCTTTCTTTGTTGCGAACTGGGATCAGCGGAGTTTGTAAGTGCGATAGTGATTTCATCGCTTCTCCGATCGGCACCAAATTTTGTGGGGAGATTCGTGACGTCTGCGTCTTGCTTTTCACCGTAGGGATTAAGAAGTTAACGGTTAGTTTATGTTTTAGGGCTTCGTTTCTGCGGCTGTAGTTTTTTTGCTGTTTCTGTCCTTTTGGTTCTTAGAGATTTTGTTTGTGTGAATTGTTGTATGGCGTTGTTTGGCTGTTGCAGTCACGAGGAGAGTCTTTCCTGGTTGTTTTTGTTATTCAAATCACCTTGTTAAGGTGAGTGCGTGACCATGAGCTTATCTAAGTGATTGGGATTGAGTGACTTGTTTGTGATGATTTGTAGGTGAATTGGAAGTGTTATTGGATGTTTAGCTTGCTGAATGGTTTGTTTATGTTATATACGTGGGTGTTATCTCATAGCTTGTGTGTATAGCTCGTAGATGGGAGGATCGCTCTCACTGAGTATTTGTGATAATACTCACGCATCTCATTGTGTTTATTGAATGATTGATTAATTAATATTATGATTAATTGATGTTAGTTTAATTGATATTAATATTGTGTTTATTGAATGATTGATTAATTAATATTATGATTAATTGATGTTAGTGCGATGGTCAGACTTGATTATTTTATAGTGTGTTAATTGAAATTGAATGGAATAAACAAATAGTCAATTGACAAGTTATATAATTTCAGTTACAATTTAGTAGTAAAGTGTGAATTTCAAGTATGAATTAAAGTATATGACTAAATGTGTTAGATATTTGTTTTAATTAAAAATAAATATTATAATTAAAAAATAAATGCTCAATGGACCAATAAGGAGAAACCTTAAAAAAATTCCCAAAGAATATTTTTTTTTAATTTGTTTTTATATTCCTCTTAATTTAAGGTATATCTCTAGGTTTAATTATATTTTTCATCGTTGTAGTATATATAATAGATAGAAAATTGAATATCAAATTGTTTTTTATATAGGAAATCAAGTATAAAATTCAAAGTTAACAAAAATTATAATATTGTTTATATTATTACATGTTGAATCACAAACTAAATATAAGGATCATTATTCTTAAAAGAATGTCTAACAAATTGGTTTGATAATTATATAACAAAAAGTTTATTTTGTTAAAAAATTACATACTTTTGAAATTAAAATAAATATACATGAATATGTGAGAAAGAAACAAACATCCAATGTAAAATAATGAAGATGGTTTCTTTAGCTTGATTTTCTTATAACCATAAAATATTATTATACATATGTATTACATTTAACAATATAAAAAACAATGAAGACATAAAGAACTACATAAAAAAAAAATTGAAAACAAAAGTTTAAACTAAATAATTAATCAAACTCTTACAATGATATTTTAAATGAGTTTTCACCCCATGCAAGAACTTTAAAAAAAAAAACAAAGAGAATAATGAAATATGAGATATGATAGAGAAGGATGTGAGAATGGCTATGTATATGATAAGAAGTGATGTAAGCTACATTTTTAAAATAATTAAATTAGAGGAGTTATAAT